ATAGTGAAAAGCCCATAGGCCAAAACCTATTAGTCTGTGTCTCTTTGACCATCGACCTTCATCTTCCTCTAACCTCTAAAGACAAAAGCCTTGAGTCGGTGAGTCCCTTACAGCGGTGAGCGTCTGAGCAAGAAAGTAGCAGCAAACTACGAGTTCCAGTTCCACTACTCCAAGGTTCAACATCCACCAAACTTACTTTCTGGCGGGCAGCGGCAAGTGATAGAGTCCGGTGGGTCTTCTTTAATTTATAGTTTTTCTGTTCATTTTAGTTCCCTCCCTGTTTTCTTCTTTGCCATTTGAATCTCTAAGTACAAGTATTTTTTTCTATTTTCCCTTTTAATCTTCAGTTCTTCCTGGTATTTTTGTTAGCCACCGAATCTGGACTGTGACAATTTTTAGCCACTAGATTCTTTAGTTTTTAAGTGCTTTGATTAAAAGAGTAGCAAGCAGATTCGGTTTTAACTAAATCAACGGAAGTAACCGAAAAAAATTTTGGTTCAGTTTGTTCAGTTTTTGCAAAGTTCGGTTTCCCTCGTTTTTTGAAAATTCGGTTTATTCGGTTCGGTTTTTAACCGAACAAACCGTGTTCTCACCCCTAGAGGCACCCTATCATGTACAACATTTAGTTATGGTGGAGATCCTCCACCATCATATCCTCGGGGCTAAAAGAGACAACACCATTCATGTTCCCTCCCTCCTAATCTTGGCTAAGGCTCTAGCCATCCTCTGTTGTGCTTCTATGGAAATGCCTTCCTCTTGAAGTAACTATCGTAGATGGTCGCTCCTGAGAAACCTTACCACTAGCACCATAGGTGAAGCCATGTTGAAGACCACGCCACTGATTTTGTTAATGCGTCCTAAAGGTGGGTGGAGCAACAAGGGATGGTCATCCACTCCTCTAGCTAAGACTTGAGACGAGTCCTTTTAGCTGCATGAACTCCTCAAAGTACTTTCGTAGCCTATAGTGGAACTCGTAGAAGTACTTTCTCTGCTTCTCCTCTTTTGTGGGTTGCCACACAACCAACAACCTCTGGATCTTGTCATCCGCAAACAACCTCTCCATGATGGCCAATACCTCTTTCCCATACGTGAATGGCACAAGGATCGGTTGCCACAACAAAACCTTTCCAAATAAACTCCCTCCTCTTCCACGGGATGGTGACCTCCCTCTATTGCTTCCTTCTTCTACTAAATAAACTTCTTCTAACTATTGCCCCCATCCACGGTCCTCCCTCAGCCTCTTCAATGTTTGGCTAGTGAAGTCGTATAGGTTTGGGTTCTCTAGATTCACACGATAGTGGGGGTGAATGTTAGATCATCTTCCCTTACCTGATAGTGTTTCACCTTGTGGGTGGTGGTCCTAAACCTTTCCAAATACACCAGCAACCAAGGTTCAAAGTATATGGGCCTATACGTATCATTCTGGGACCCATCCGATACGCCCCTATAGTGGGTGTATCGGAGGTCTCACCGGTTCAGGGGGTAGAGGACCCCTAAACCGGCCCTCCTGAACTGGTTGCAAAAAAAATAAAGAAAAAAAGCAATAAAAATGAGTATCAATTCGCATGATACGCCCCTACCGATGTATCAGGCGTATCAATTGGCGAACTCTTCTCAAATCGGGCATGGTGAGTTTGCTCTCTACCACAAACCAGTTCAAGTGGAACTTCTCTACCATTCGGTAAACTACAATTTTACTTTATTTGCTTTGTCTTGTGTTTTATGGAAGGCATTTGTAGGTTTAGGGTTTGAGTTTGTAGAAAATCCACGATTAGCCCCTTGTAGAAGGGTCCATGATTCTCTTTGGGATAGTACTACTAGCTATGCGACAGTGAATTCTGTAGTATTATTACTATTGCTGATCTGCGTGATGTATTAGTATTATATAAGTCTATCCTCTTACACCAAATACATCAACAAACATTACAATGAGTCATAAATTTACCAAGATGCCAAAAGTAGCTGAAAGAATAAAATTGCAAAATGATAAAAATGCTAGCACACAGATTATGGGGTGCAAAATGGATCTCTATTCAAATCAATCTTGTTTTGCTGGATTTAGATATTGCACTATCACTAGTGCATATATTATATTGCTTTTTTTGCAATTTGACTTTTTATATTATTAATGTTGTTTTACAAAAAGGCATGTATACCCCCATTTTGTTTAAAATTTATATGATAAAAACGGTTGGAAAAATTGCTTGTGTTTTTGTTTTTCTTTGGGTAATTAAATCAAATCCAATCAAACTCAAGTGTCCAAAATCCTTAGTGAATTTCAATTAAAATTAATCTTTGTGAAATCCATTGAATCATCAAATCAGATTGGATATAAGATATATATTATCAAATCGATTTCAAATATACTCCTAGTCCCCTATCCAAATTCGATTGGATCCTTTTGCATCCCCAACCAAGGTTTAAAATTTCATCATGTATCGACCAATACGTATCGGTTTATCGACTTACTGGCATGCGAGATGGTCTGAAATCGAAGGTACCATCTCTTTTCGCCATGCTGAAACAGTATCGAATTTGTATTGGGCTGGTATCAGTCTGATTCGTTATGTTTCAGCCGAGTATCGATTGATACACAACGAATTCACTGTTAAAAAAAAAAAGCCTTCGAAAGAGGGCTTCTAAGCCCATTACCACAGCCCTCTTTCCCTAAACCCTCCAAAACTTTCTTTACATTACTATAGACACAAATCTAGAAAAAACCCATCAAAACACCTACAAAACTGAAAATTCAACAAGTTTTTCAAGGTTGTTTAAAAAGTAGCAAAAATAGGATTTTTTACAAAATTTTTAACATTTTCAGCCAATGTTTTTGGTTTTTTTTTTAATTTGGATGGTTGAAAACATCTTTATGTATGTTGATTTGCTATTCTTGTGCAAAAAATCCCACTTATTTTGCTGTTATATGTAAATCTTTGTAAATATTTGAAGAAATTCCAGAATGATAAAAAATCTGAAAAAAAAAGAAATTTTTAGGTTTTTCTTTTGATCTACCTGTAGAAATTGATTATGTTGTAGATCTATGGATGATCTACCATGTCCATAGATCAATTGAATTTTTTCTAAATAATTGATTTTTTTTTATTTTTGGTATGCATATAAATATATATATAATTTCTTTAATTTTATATGATCTAACCCTATAGACTGAGTTTGTT